AACATTTCTTGGTATAAATATGAATTTATCATTTTGTTCAATTCTTAGTTTACATTTAACAAAAAAAATATTTTTTGCTATAAATATGAAAAATTCTATATTTTTATAATTTTATTTATACAATAATACGGGTCAAATTGGAACGAACCGCGACCCGCATGGACTCGACCCGGATTGGTTAGCGGGCGGACCTAGGTTGTAGTCCAAAATTTATGGGCCGACCTGGAACCAGTAGCGGGTGAGCTTTTTTTCACTCGGACCGTTAACGGGCTCATATGTTGGCGGGCCGACCCTGCCCGAACCATCCGGATTGACACCTCTACAAGGACATATCAAAGCAGATGCAATTTTGCACAATATCTTCAAACTCAATTTATAAAGTACTTCCATTCTTCCATGAAGGAGAGTTTCTCAATGCTAGAGAATGTTCATGCAGATCATTAAATTATTCTCGCTGCACCATTTACTGTATATAAATCAATGAGGAAATGCAGTTTTATGAGTTTTCTCTAACCGCACACAACTTGAGAGTGCATTGAAGTTGAGCTTAGAACAAGAAAATTACAAATTTACATAAAACTGTCCACACAAAAATTCCAAGACATTCAACAAATAGTGGTTTTCTACAATCTTTGAATAATAGTGCAAGGTGAGGACATAAATGTACCAATATACCTGTTGCTGAAAACATTGATCTCATGAAGAGTAATGCAATGCACAACCTTCTTCTTCTTCTGCAGCTCCCCTTCAGGGCACTGCACAAACTTGGTCTGTGGCCCCATGGCCCATGGCATCATAATCCATAGACCTCGAGAATGACCTCTCGAGCTATGTGATCTTCCCTGAGGCCTTATGGATTGCAATACTGTTCTCACTTGCACCTTTTCCTTCTCCAAGGTCTCAATAATTGTCGCCCCTAAGTCACATGCCATCTCCATTTCTGTTGTCTTTAGCGTCAGCTTTCCTGTCCTTGAAGCCGCCCAGCCATCACTCAATAACCTCTCCCTCTCAATTCGTATCTCCACCACCTCTCCCTCAATAACGTCCGTCTTCTCAATTTTAAAACTGATAACTTTTCCAAGAGCCTGCATTAGCGCCTCGGTTTTCGATCTCAACCGAATACAATTTGCTGCCTGCATCGCATATAGGGTATCTTGGCCCAGGGATTTCGCCACGCCCATTGAAATGGCAGTCTTTCTGGTACCAGGATGCCCCGTGAGTAGGATAGGGCAGCCAACAACTTTCCCTCATGTACCATCTCAATTATAACTTCAGTGGCCTTGAGAGCGAAGGCCTGGTCCATCATGCAATCAGAGGACTCTCGTGGCTCAAGGGCCGAGTCCAGTCTCAGGCCAAATTTTGAAAAAATTGTCATTTATCATTTGTAGAAGTCACAAATAACACATGAACACATATGGCAGCAATATTACACTTCCACTACTCATAAATAATAATATATAAACTTTGAATCATGAAAACAAATGTGATTATTAGCTCACAAACTTAACCAGAAATGCTTCGAAACAAGCATGACATTCACAATTTAAAGTAAAGCTTCTCC